GTCGGTCAATTATCCGTAAAGTGCCGTAAAAAGACGTAAAGATTTGCGCCAATCACCGACGCCGCGATAAGGAAGGCCATTGGCCAACGGTCGACGACGATGGACGCTGCCGACGACGTCGACGGCAAAGCGCCGTCGCGCCTTGGGCGCAAGCGTGGCCCGGTGTACGAGCACTTTACGCTCGCCTCCGAGCGCGGCAACATCAAGCGCTTCAAGTGCAAGCACTGCGAGAAGGAGACGAGCCAGAACCGCAAGCGCATGGAAAGCCATCTCGAAGAGTGCCCCGTGCTCCAGCCCACGCCATCGCGCGAACCGCCGTCACTGCCACCGAGTACCGAGACGACACTCCAGCCAGGGCGAAAGCGCGGTGCGATCTACGAACATTTTGTTCTGAGCGCCGAGACGCTCAAGGGCAAGCGCTTCAAGTGCGTCCACTGCAAGAAGGAAACGAGCCAGAACCGCAGCCGCATGGAGCACCACATTGCGTCCGAGTGCACTGTTGTGGATGCAGCAGCCAAGGCAGCCGTCCACCGCGCCGCCGAGAGTAACGACATCGTCACTAGCGCGTACAGTGACAAGATGGTGCTTGCCCTCATCACCGAAGACGTGCCATGGACGCTGCTTGAGAACCCGTTTTACACAGCGGCGCTTGGCTCGCTCCAACCGCCGGGAGCGGGGCCGCTGACCGTGGCGGCGGCGCGCTCAATCGTGTTGCCGCGGCTGCAAAGCGCGCTGCACGACGCCATGCGCCGCTTTGCCGACACTGCGCAGTTCCTTACGCTCGTGCTCGACACGCGCGTCGACCAGTACACCAACGTCGTCCTCCTCAACGAAGACGCGACGGCCTACCAGCTGGAACGCATGGCACCGAGCATGGACGGCGCCACGATCTTGGCGACCGTGCAGTCGTACCTCTCGCCGCACCACGCTGTCGTCAACGTCTGCAGCAACGACAGCAGTGCGAAAGCGAGCTACGTAACGCTGACGGGCACCTGCATGGGCCGCGTCTCGGTGCGGCATCTCGCTGCGCTTGTGCAACACGTGCCGTCGGTGGCCGCGGCATTTGACGCCGCGGCGCGCGTCACCGCAGCGGTCGCGTCCCGTCCCGAGCTGCTGCACGCATGGACACACGCTAAGCACACCGTCATCGCGGCGCCGCGCTCGTGGCTCGAGCACGCGATCGTTCTCAAGCAAGCGATGCGACTGGCGCCGAACGAGCTACTGCAAGGTGGCGACGGCTCGCTTCTCCGCGTCGCAGACGCTCTGCTTGCGCCACACGTTGTGCTTTCGGCCCTCTCTGCGATACCAGGTGTGTCGTCCGGCATGCTGGCGGCGACATTTGCGTGGAGCCTCGGTGCTGTGCTCCACGCCGTCGGGATCGCCGACGACGCCAAGGCCGCGTACGCGTCAGCTTTTGGAAACGAGCTAGAGACATTCGGTGAGCTGCACTGGATGGCTGCAATGGTGCTAGACCCGCGCGTGCACGGCGCCGGCCTGTCGCCCAAGGGCCGGCGCGTCGCCGAAGCCGCGATCGTCGCACTCGCGTCGTCGCTGTACCCATCGCTGGAGCCGGCCAAACTGCTTGCGGGGTTGCATGCGTACACGACCAAGAGTGGTGATTTTGGCGCCGCCTTGCACTGGGACGCCTTTTACGTGCAGTCACCGCGGCTCTTTTGGGACCGGTTCAGCGACTTTGCCGAGCTCAGTGCCGTTGCGCATCTCGTGTGCAGCTACACACCGCTTACGGCGTCGATCGAGACGTATCTGCGGCGCGCCCAAGCTAATGCGCCCTGCATCGAGACGGACGCATGTATCGCGAGTCTCCGGTTCGCCCATGCCCGCCCAGTGGACGCCGCCGCTGTCGCTGCCGCCTACGCCGTCGCCACCGACGTGGCCAATGCGCTTCCATCGCACATGGTGTTTAGCCCAATCACGGAGCTTGAGATGCCTCGCAACGACGAGCGCTGGTCGAAGAACGACGGTCGACCGCTTCTGGAGGCGCTGGGCGCAGTTGCGTCGACGTGCGACGGGACTGCTCGTGGTGGCACCCAAGCTGGCCGGTTCTCGATCGACTGCTTGGACACCTCGGTGGCGGGCTGCGCCACCGTCCGAGTTGCCATGACGACGTACCTCGATCTTGTCAAGACTGCGCGCTAGGGGTCGTTTGGTATTTTATGAATGTGATCGTCTACTAGTATATTGTTTCGTGTTTTCCTTCGCGTAAAAGGAAATGTCTCGGATAACTCGCCGATTTAATGTCCAAAAGGCAGTATAAATGTTGGAAATACGATCTATTGCATGGCGCACCTCGCACCGAGGTTCTTGGCATACGTACACGCAAACGTGTCCGACAACATGTCGAGCGTCGACTGCGCTGAGAGGAGGGACATGAGCAGCTGCTGCTTGCCTTCGGGAATGCTCGTGAGCACCGGCGACTCGACAGGGTCGTCGAGCGTGTGCAGGAGCGCATTGAGGTCGCCGCCGTCGTCAAACGAGGCGGCCATCGATGCAATCACCTGTGCTTTGTGCTCCACCCGCAGCGCCTAGCAGCAAATATCAAAGATTGGGACATCCTAGCAGTGACGTACCTGTGTGTACAGCTGGTCGAGGTCTGTAAGCGAGAGGCGCGACGCAGCCGTCGCTTCGTTGTCGTCGTCGTCATTGTCGGGTGCTGGTGATGCCCTGGTGTCCAGCGTCTTTTCCCGCTCGAGTTGCTTGATGCGGAGCTCGAGCGCGGCCAGCTCTTCGTTCTTCCGTCCCACTTGCTGCTTCAGTTGATGTACCTATCGTCGCTTTGACGATCCACTCACCGCACGTCGAGTACGTACTGCAGATGTGTGTACGTGGGCGAGACCAGGCGTTCCGAGCGTCTACGCCGTGCTTGACAGTTGAGGGGTAGACGTAACAGAGTTGCGACCTTGTAGTCGGCTTCGAGGTCCGCAATGTAGTGGTCCTGCTTGCCAATCTTCTGCAAAAGACTTTGAATTTCACTGTCGCGGATCGTGCTCGTCGCCGACGCCTCTGCGAGTTTGGCTTCCTTGGCCGCCAGGTCCGACCGCAGCGTTGTAACCTCGTCGCTAGCGCGTGCGAGCTAGGCGATGATGAGTGCCACTTCGAGTGGTAGCAAGAATGAGAGAGCACCTTGTCGTTGGCTGTTTGGAGCGCGGCCGACATGGCCTCTTGCTCGAGCGACACCTTGCGAAAGCGGCCTTGGAGGTCCGTCAACATGTGCTCGATGCTGCTTTTTTCACTGCTCTCGTCGAGCTTGCGCTTGAGCGTCTTGATCGTTTTCATGAGCTTTACATTGACAGCTTTTTGCTGGTCGACGTGAGCCGCCAATGCGTCGGCTTCGGCGCGCTCGTCCTCAAGCTGCCCAAAGAGCTTGGTGACCTACAATGATGTTGCCAACGCGCAGGCCACTCGGCAGACGTACTTGCTGCTCGAGCGCATGAACGCGGGCATCACTGTCGCGGTCGTTGCGGGCGTGGACGCTGCTAGTATCGTCGTCGTCCACCTACGTCGCAGCGCATTGACCGACGCACGGTCGCGCGCACGTGCGTCTACCTGGTTGTTGGGGCCGATCGCAGACCGGGAAAACGAGCTTCGCATGCTCTTCTTGAGCGCGTCGGTACCGTTCTCGATGATTGTGCTGTACATCGTCGACGACTGCTTCCGGTATGACTCGATGAGCTGCTGCTGGAGGTCCACGTGCTTCTGCAGCTGGTCAATCTTGACGTCGCGCTCGAGGATCGTCGCCTCAACGTGCTTGCGGCTGCGCTCGAGCGTCGTGTTGGCAATGCGCAAGCGGGCCTCTACCTGCGCGTACTCGCGAGAGAAGTGGTCCTTCTCTTGCTGGCCGCGCACGCGGAGTAGCTCGTTCTCGTCGGTCGCCGCCTTTAGCCGCTCCTTGAGCGTCGCCCGGTCGGCGCGCAGCCTAGCCTCGGTCATGAGCTCCGAGTTGCTTGCTGTCGCGTCCACTTTTCAATCGTTATGTCTCGCGGGTCGGCGGCTCTCCCATGCGGGAACCGCGGTCGCTCCATCAGCTTTTTGCCTCGTTCCAATTCGGCTCCTGCGGTCCAATTCGGCCAAACTAGGGTCTCTAAATCGGTCATTCGGCTATAAATGCCTATTTGTACTTGTTTGAGGGCGCTGATGTCCGAAATGCAACGGCGAAAAAAGGTCCGCCGACCTCACTGCCCGCGAGAGACGAGACGCGCGAGGGCAGGTGTCGCTGCAAACCTGTCATGGGATCCATGGTCTTGGTTATATGCACGCAAGGCGCAACCAGGACGAATCGATCGTCGAGTGCTCTACGGTACCACTGGTTTCGTCACTCAAATCGAACGAAATTGAGTTGCGTTTTTTTCAATTTGACGTTGAGGTTGACTCGCGCCACGTTCGATCCGGTTGCATCTCATCACGACAGGCTCCATTTTGCCATCAAAAAAAATGTTTACGGTTGTAGGAAACCTTACTTGGTACTGCACTGGGCACGAGTCTCGCAGCCCACGGTGATTGCAAACACGTGGCGTCTCTGCTTAGCACTCGGACGCATCGTTCTCCTTGTGCAGCGGCTCCTCGAGCGTCCCGGCCGGGTCGGCCACGCAGGTCTCAAGCGGGAGTCCCGCGTTGTGCGGGCTGCACACCGCAACGTAGTTGAAGGCGTGCGCGACAAAAGCCGACGCAATGCCGATGAGCGCGCCCACCTAAGACATGTCATTTTCGACTGTACTTGAAGCATTGATACTGTCACCGCAATGTCCGAGTAGTGGTGCCAGTTGTCTTGCGACCGAGTGAGCGCAACCCACGTCGCGAGCAGAAGCGGAAGGCACGCGCCAAAGAGCTTGGCGGCCGAGAGCATCGACCGAGTGCCGTGCGTACACGCCGCGACACGCGCGCGCCCGACAAGGTACAACTACATGGCACACTGAGCCTAATTCTCTCAGTAGAGGTGTGAAACTATACCGAAAGGAAGCAGAGCCCTGAGAAGGCCGTCGACGAATGCCCCGACGGAAACGACTTGCGTCCCTGCGCTTCACCCGCAGCGTTGCGGCAAAGGTTGGCGACGCCGTCCCAAAGCACTTCTGTGTTCCAGTCGCACATGTCGTAGAAGCTCGGGCGGAAGCGACCGGCAAGGCTCTTGATGATGTTGGTGAAGAGTTGCGCGAGGGTCGCCGAGAGGAGCAGCGAGAGGACAAAGTCACGCGTGTCGTTGGCGATACGGTGCCTCCACTGCACGACGGCGTGTACGAGCAGAGGCAGTGCGTACGCCAGGACCATGCACACGATCGGCGACACTACCAGTCCTTGCCGTATTGCCTCGTACAAGATCGTTCGATCTACCTTGTTCCTTGCGCATCTTGTGGTTCAAACTCGGATCACGAAGAAAGAGGCTGGACGTGGCGTTGAGTGGTAGCGTAATGACCGGGATATCGCCTAGTCCAAGCACGAATGGGACTAGGAGATTGGTGGATCATGGGAGATACGCCGAAAGAGGCCAAACGATGAGATGGCCATCGCGACAGCGAGCACGACAAGCGTCGCGGCAAAGTCACCAGCGCGGTAGATACGAGCGCGCTCTGCCCAGGAGGTCATCGTGGTAGCTATGCGTATGCTCTTGCACGCAACTTGAACAATGGCGATCGACAAATTCGCACCCGGCCGCAAGCTGCATTGTGATTGGTGCGTCCTTTCTGGAACGCGCCAATCAAACGCGGCGAAATGCAATCCATGAAAAAGACAGGGTGCGAGATTCTGCAGCGCGGCACGTCTATTGTTGTTGGTCACGTCACCCGAGGCGCTCGACGACTATCGACCGTTGCCTCCCGAACACTACGCGCGCAAGCATCGTGGCGAACGTTCCAGCACCCTGCGCGCGCTCCCACGATACCACACTTGAGCGTCTTGCGCAAGACAGCCCTTCAAACGACTTTGCACGGACCGCGCAAGACGCCAGGAACGGCGCGCACCAGCCGCAACGGTACGGTCGCGCGCAAAGCAAAACGCAGGGCAAATCGCCGTCTGCGAGACAGTCCGAGTCGCTGCAAGCGACCAAGCTCTTACAAGCGACGGAGGGCTCTGATTCGCACCCACGAACGGCTACGTGGACGCAGCAGCTGCGTCTGTTTCACCCGTAGGACGGCGCCCAGCGGTCGTCGTAGTACCTCCATAGCGTCGTAGGCACGACGCGGTTCTAGTCTGTTTCTTATTCCTACGCTTTACGCTTGTGACGAGTAGATGCTCTTGTCCTCGAGCAAAGGACATAGCCCAAAGCTGCCCGAGACAGGGGGTATTCGATAACTATGAGTAGAAGCGTTTACTCGAATGATGTCGAGTGTCTGTATTACGCAGCTGTGAGCGGCGCCACGCGCGAGTCGCTCTTTGCAATCTTCTGCTCGTAGTACGTTTCGAGGGGGAGGCCCGACGACTTGTACTTGAAGAGCGACCCATAGTTGTAGGCGTACGCCAGCACCGCCGAAACAATGCCAATGAACGCGCCAGCCTAGAAAGAAGCCGGTTTGTCGGTCTCCTGTCTGTAGGGAGTGTACCGCAATGTCCGAGTAGTGGTGCCAGTTGTCCATCGAGCGCGTGACCGCGATCCACATGGCGAGGACCGTCGGTAAAAGCGCAATGAAAAACTTGATGTTGGCGAGAGAGTGGCGGCCGGCCATCGCATTGGCGCTGTACTTGTGGAGGGCGACGACCTGGAAGCGCCCGAGGAGGTAGAGCTACGCGTATCACCGCAGATGAGCCATAGCCAGAGACAAATAAGGGCGGGTACGCTGAGGAAGAAGAGCGTTGAGAACGCCGTCGACGAGTGGCCGGACGGGAACGACTTGCGGCCTTCGGTCTCGGCGTGCTTGTCGGTGCAGAGGTTCGCGGAGCCGTCCCAGACCGCCGTCGTGTCCCACTTGCACATCGAGTAGAAGCTCGGGCGGAACCGGCCCGCGAGGACCTTAAGGATGTTGGTCGCGAGCTGGCAAATGGCCGACGAGACGAAAAGCGAGAGGAAGAAGTCGCGCGTGTCATGGTCAATGCGCTGCTTGCACTGAAGGACCACGTGCGCAATCACGGGGATGCCATACGAGAGGATGACCGCCAAGTACATGGGCACTACCACCGAGTATGAGACTTTGCCGAGGCGTCGTACGTATACCTTGCTGGTCGAGCATCGGGAGGTTCACGCTTGGATCGCGCACAAAGACGGTCTTGCCATTGCCGAGCGGGATGGTCACGACGAGGAGGTCGCCTACGACCATCCATGCGTCGAGAGAGAAAGTAGCTCACATGCTGCTTACGTTGGTAGAGGCCTGCAAGCGAAATGACGAGCGAGATGACGAGCATGAGCGTGCTCGTGGCAAACTCGGCGAGGCGGAAGCGCATCATGGTCTCCTGCCAAGCCATCGTCGCGGCTGGTCGACAAACCAAGAATAAATTGTGCTCCGGACATCCTGTACCATCCGGATAACGCACGCCACTTTGCACCGCGCCAGTTTGCACCTGGGTGTAGGTACGTCGACGAAACCTTGACGCTGCGCCCTTGCCTATAATAGTATGACCTCCACCAGTTATCTGACCACCTAGCGGTAGTCCCGTGTCATGTATTATATGGAGGCTGGGCGGACAGCAGCGTTCGTGACGACGAGGACCTCTACGAAGGCGCGCCAGCCATCCGGATACTGACGTTCCGTGCACATCAAGTTGCACTTGCGCAAATTTCAGAGAATTTGACACATTTGCGTGTCCCACGACCGCCACATGCAGAGCCAAGTCCGTGTCAGCGTCGGCCTCGCGCTGCTGGCGCTTCTCGTCCACGTTTATATGAAAACTATGGCGCAAGGTATCCCTACCCCTAGCGTGGAGGCAGTGCAGATAGTGAGTGCTAGGAGAGGAGTCCCTCGTGCAGCTCGGGGCCGTCACGACGTCGTCCATCGCGTTGTGGCTCTTTGCACTCAACGCGACGTCGGTGCGGGTGCGCTATTCCAATGCTGACAACGACACGCCGCAGCAGGTGGTGCAGTCCCTTCTTAGCCGTGCGCCCGCGACGCTGTGGCTTCAAGGTCTGGCGCCGGCCACCACATATCGCCTGCACGTCGAGCTTCTGGACGAGACGACGACGCATGTGGTCTACGCCAAGGACATGGCGGCATCGACGCTCTCGGACGACGTCTCGGCGCCAGTCTCGTTTGCGTTTGGCTCGTGCACCATGGCGATTCCGTTGCTGTACGATCTCGTCGGTGCGTGATCACGTCATAAAACTCATGTCGATGGTCAACGCAGGCTTTGGCAGTAACCTCGACTACATTGCGTCAGTCGTGTCCCCTGCCTTTATGCTGCTCCTCGGCGACCAAGTGTACGCGGATATCGACATTCCGACGCGCGCCACCGACGCCTTGTACCAAGCAACGGTGCAGGACCCGAGCTACAAGGCGCTGACGCAGTCGACACCGATCTTTAGCATGTATGACGACCACGAGATCTTCAACAACGTACGTCGATTCGTCTTTGTCTTGATGTATCAAGTTGATAGAATCCATTCTAGTGGAACCAAGGCGAAGACGACCCGCTGTATACCGAACGCGTCCGCCTCTTCCACGTGTACTTTGGTCAGCGCAACCCAAAGCCACTGCGCGATGGTGACCACTACTATGCGTGGCAGGCGGGCGCTGCCTCCTTCTTCATGCTGGACGTGGTAGATCCCAGTCTCTCGCGACAGCGACGCTGACGTGCCTATGTGGTAGCGGAAATACGCATCGCCCAAGACCATGGTCGACGGACCAACCAAGACAAAGCTCGGTGCGGTGCAGAAGCGCCACCTCCTTGCATGGCTCCTTGCCGCCAAAACGCCGTTCAAGTTTATGGTTTCGCCCATGTCCGAGTTACTTTTCTAGAAGCGCCGTCCTCAGAATGCGAATTAGGGTCGTCTCGAGCCTCGGGCTGCACAGCACGGACGAAGGCTGGGCGCTGTACCAATCCGAGTACCACGAGATCTTTGATGCCGTCGTCGCACACAACATCTCGGGGGTCGTCGTGCTCTCGGGGGATCTGCACTGGGCTGGCTTTTTCCAGCACGGCGCCTACCCGTTCTTGTTCGAGGTACTAAAATGCACCCATGGTAGTACCTGCCACGACCTTGCCTACTAGATGGGTGCATCCCCGATCGCAGCGCTGCCCGTGCCACCGCTCGTGCCGCGCTGGCTGGTTGATTCGACCGACACGCTGCATTTCAGTAGCTTTACGGGGACCCATTTCGGGCTTGTGGACGTGGCTTCGAGAAGCCTGCGCCTGACCATTTACCGAGCGCGCTTGGGGTGGCCCCAACCGGTGTTTACGCGGGAGCTGCTCTGGACCGATACGATTCCTGAACCTGCAACTTAACTCGTTGATCGCAGCACATTTGGCAACGACTGATGTAGTTTTCAGCAATAAAAACTCGTCCGCCGCAAGGACGCGCTGCGGGTGGAGAGAAGCTATGGGTTGTCAGTACCTTTGACTAGGTAATACAGTGCACGGATGGTCAGCAAGGTGCGAAATACAGCGTCCACAGGGCGATCGCAGCCACTCTCTGTGGACGATTCTGGCCCCAAAGTTCCAACATGTGTTTTTGCAGCCACGCGCCTGACCGTCCATTCCGACTCTCTTTTGCTGTCTCGCAAGCGCGAGTTTGGAGGGGACATGCAAAGTAAAAATATATACAGAGAGCTACAGCGTCTTTGCTCCACATAGTTATGATGACAACGTGTGCGTCATCGTGCCACGAGCGGCGGCAAGATCGTCCACTTGGGTGTGAACACCGACCACTTGGCGGCTTCGGTCGCCGCGGCCTCGGCGCTCGAGAGCGTAATTTCGGGGCGCCGTTTGAAAATAACATGCTGGACGCCGTCCGAGTACGGCGACGTGGTCCGACGCGGGGATGAATATGTGGTCGTGTTCTCGCGCGGGTAGTAGTAGTTGAGGTCGTCGAGGCTGCGCTTCCGCGTGCGAAGATGAGCATGGGCTTGGTACACATTCGGCATCTGTGGCATCGGGCGTTGATAGCGCAGAGGGCTGCTCGGTGACGAGAGCGGACGCATCAAGTGCGGGGCCGCCTTGTGTTTGGGCATGCGCGTTGACCGGAGCTCAAACCACGTCGAGTGCAGAATGTCGACGCAGACGCCTCCGTCAAAGAAGTAGACGCTCATGCGGTGGCGGCGGTTCTTCTCGATGCGGCTGTCGTACGCGTACGACCAGCCGCGCTTGTTGACGTCCGGGTTGATGACAAAGCGGCGCCCAGCGCGCGTCGTCGCCGTCTCGACGACTGGGAAATCAGAGCTGATGTCGACGCTCGCGTACTGGCGGCCGACGACGAAGCGCTGGCCTTCGTCGAGCGTCGAGCTCTCAAAGCGGCAAATGGCTGCGTCGCAGGCCACGTGCGTCGTCGCAAAGACGCTCGAGCCGCAAAAGCCCGCGCTCTTGTGGCCGCCGCGGCCGTTGCAGCAGTGCGGAAAGCACCGAATGTTCTTCTTCTTGTCCTTGTTGTTGCTACGGGCAACGGTAAATGTCAAGCGCCTCTTGCGGTAGAGACATGGATGTACCGCTGGAAGATGGGTTTCAGCGCCACCGAGGTCTCGCAGCCCGTGCACCCGAGACGCCCGAGGCCATGGCGGTCCATCCTGCTAGTAGTGGTACTGTGCGAAAAGGCGGCAAGTTGACAAATGACGCACCGCATCGCAGCGACGTCGGACCGTGTGCACCGAATATTTCGAACCCAGCTGCGGTGGTACGCCGGTCCACAGTGCGCACTCACCAGTGGTCGCACGTCTTCCGCACTGCTGCAAACGTGCCACTTCCTACGACAAGACGCGTGCTGGCTGCGCAATCGCTTCGAGTTATCTCGACGACGTGACCTCTCGAGAAGCCAAGCTCGAGCTACACTACGGTATGCCAGTAGGAACCAGACGCAACGCGGCGTTGCCGTCATCGATTACATGACAACACGCGACCGCCGCTCGTGCTTACGGTATTCGCGCCCGAGAAGAGTCGACTAGGACTGGATGCTTGAGCTGCAAGCGCGCGTGGACGCGAGTTATCGCACGACCGAGGCAGCAGCCGGCGTCGTCGCGTGGCAACACATGGCCGCGACATGTGCTGCCGATTAATCGGCCGCAACAGCTTGCCCTTACCGTCCTACTGTGACTATGGTGCGAAACACCCTTCTTCTTCTGTTTTTACTTGTTCGGAAATGCACGTGCTCGACGAGCGTTGGAACTCGATGGTGCGAAGTGCAACGTCATAGTCACTGCTGCTACCGTCACCCGCGCTACTTCGTCGACGTCGGCGGCGGACCCTCGACCCAAGTCACTGCGTCGTCAAGATTCGACGACACGGCGAACTGAGCGATCAAGCGCGCTTGTAGAAACCATCGTACCCAGTACGTGACCACCACCATTACAAACAGCAACAGCAACGACGACGACGACGACCGGGATGCCTGCTGCTTTGGCCGATGCGTGGGCAGCGACGTGGCGCGAGTGCGCGCCAACTCTGTGCAACATGCCAAAGACCGACTTTGCCTTTTGTGCGTGGCACCTCGGCGCGCTCGCCTCGGAGAATATCTCGTGCACGTGGCGCTACGAGGACGATGCGAGCGACGGCGCGGCCGTGCTGTATCCGTATGCGTCGACGGTGCCGATCCCGCTCGCGCTTCAAGTACGTGCCGCGCCGCTCAGCGTGCGCTGCAAAATCAACGACACGACGTTGGAGCGCCGCTTCGACGTGCGCAATTGCGATAGTCTGACGCGCCACGACGTCTACCACCCGCTGCACCAAGGCGCGTTCTTGCAGCAGACGTGCGCGACGGCGCGCGGGCCGCACCAAGCCTGCGCCGGCCACTTGATCTCTTGGGAGGGCACGCGCACGCGTTATACGGACGCCACCGCGCGGCCGCTCGAGTGCTGCAACGCCCGTGGTGTGCTCCCGGCCTTTTCCTGCAACCTCAACACCACATTGGATGGACTCGGGATCTGCGCGGTCGCGCCGTTCGCGACGTATGGCCTCTACGACGTGCACGTGCTGCAGATCTCGGTCGACTTTGCGTACGCGTACCCATCGATCGCGATCGGCTTGGGTAGTCTACTTGGCGCTATAGCGCTCCTCGGAACCTTGGTCTGGGTCGTCCAGTTGGCCACACTTGTCGTCAACGAGCACCAAGATACTCGGCGCATGGATACAAGCTACTACTACAAGGAGCTGCCGACGTAGCTGATACAAAGTAATTGTGTGATTTTGACCTACAACAGTATCGTCTTGCGCGTCGTGCTGTCTCTACTGGGCGGAGGATGGGTCGGCAGCGGCGCTATTAGGATGAGGAGACAGACGCACGCCAGAGCCGGCAGAGCCAGCGACGTGAAGGATATGCAGTAGGGAGCTGTAGTAGTACACTTGCACACTGCATGGATAGCCTTGAATACGGTAAGACCTATGCAGCAGCATTCGAATGCAAAGCAGCTCCTCAAATCTTCATCTCGAATGACCATCAAAGTCGAGCGCCAAAAGCCACCAATCACCGGCGGTGGTGTCAATGCCTCTTGACCAATCACAATCGACGAAACGGCAGTGGAGATTTTGATGGTCAAGCGCAAGGCCGTGACGACGACGAAGGGTGCTTCGGCGACCAAGCGCCAGGCGAAGAACGGTACGTGGCCATGCACATGGATCAGCGCTAGATACGACGCTCTGTGTAGCCAAGGCGAGCGATGTGGTGACCATTGTCGGTGACGACTTGACCGACGACTACCCGATGCTGGACGAAGATGCGGTCCTCGCCAAGCTCGTACATCCGATGACGGCGGACGTCTTCATGCAAACGCATTTCCGCCAGAAAGCCCTCGCTGTGCACGCGTCGCGAGCGCGCTTTGACCAGCTCGTCGCGGCGGGCATGTGCGACTTGGACGTCAAGGCGCTCCTCGAAGTCACGTCGTCTGAAGCGTACCAAGCGTGGGTGCAGACCAAGGACAACAAAATCGAGTCGGTCAAGGTCGAGACGCTGGAGCAGGCGCTCGTGCTCCACCGCGCCGGGCACTCGCTTACGATGCGGTCATCGGAGGAGCTCAGCACTCTCTTGATTCCAGCACTCGCCCAGGACCTCGGTATGGGCTTTACCACGACGTCGCTTTGTGGCAAACTCAACGGCGAAATTGAAATCTTTTGCGGCAAGGCGGGCCACACGATCGATTGGTTGATTTATCGTTCTCAGTAGGTTGCGCTAACTTCGTGGCGTAGGCACTTTGACTCTCCGGAGAACTTCACCGTTCAGCTCGCCGGCTCCACGACGTGGCAGCTCAAGAAGGGAACCGTGCCGCATCCCTTACGCGGGTGCACGCCGCACGACAAGACGCAGGACGTATTGGTCGAAGAGCAGCAGCTCAAACTGCACCGGATGACGGACCCGACCTTTGCGCCACCCCTAAACACCAACGACGACGTCAGCGTCACCCTCCATCCGGGTTCGATGATGTATGTTCCCGGTGGCATGTGGCGCCGCGTCGAGTGTGCGGACGACGAGGATTCGATCTCGATGACTATGAGCATGATCTCGACGCCGTACGCCGACGTCGTCGCCGACGCTGTCCGCCAGCTCCTTTTGCAAACGTCCGCAGGTCGGGCTGGTGTCTGCTACACGTCAGTGGATGACGCCCACGCGCAGCTTGCAACCGTACTTGCGACGCTTCAAACGCAGCTGCAGTCGATCCAACCCGCCGACATTTGCCCGCCACGCCTCTTGGTGCATGGCCGGAACGGCCAGCTCGCGAACACCGACGACGATGACGACGAAGATGAAGAAGAAGAAGGAGATGAAGAAGGTGACGACCATGAACATGGCAGTTGCGAGGACCATGACCATGACCACGACCATGACCACGACCACGACCATGACCACGATCATGACCATGCAGACGACGACGAGAGTGATGATGAAGACGACGACGGCGCGTCGACGGTGCTCGATGCGTGTGACGCACAGCTCGTCCTCGATCCATCGGTGGCGATCCCGGCGACCGCCCGCTTCCGCTTGAACCCGCTGGCCAATTTACTCGCATACACCGACTTGCCGTCGATCATGGCGGTGGCGCCGGGCAGCAAGGACGAGGATATAAGTCGCCTCCATGTTCTCAACGTCTTGTACGGGAACGACAGCTTCGCGTCCAATTTGCGGGTCGAGTTTGTCGTGAGCGCGTCGCAGGTCGACGCCCTGCGCACGCTGCAATCACAGAAAGAACGTACGTTTACGCTGCAGAACATTGCAAAGACGCCGTCGCGCGACGTGGAAGTGCTCGTGCATTTCCTGACCCACGTCGGCTTTCTCACACAGCTCGACGACGACGACGCAGCGTGAGTGCACGGCCGAAGTGGTCTCGAGTCCCACTGGCAAAATATATTCATTTTCGTATATTTTCGGACACATACCCTTCTTTTCACAAGACAGGTGGCGCAACTGGGCACTGCAGCGTGACCAGGGGTCATGCGGTGCCAGACTTGCTGTGTTTTTCCTCTGGTCAACGCCGAGTCGGAAGAGACCGGGAGATGCAGTATGAAACGAGCGGCAGCGCCGCAGACAGGCGACGTTCTACCTCAGCACCCATTGGGCTAGAGCCATCCATGCGGCGTGGCCGAGGGATCGTCGCGATTGCATGTACGGACACTTGCTCGCATCGAGGTTCGTACCATAGTACAGGACAGGGCAGCTCGAGAACGGCGATTAATGGCGACGGTGCACGCTTCGCTACACCTCTGCCGTGCAAGTCGTCTCGTAATTTCCTAACCTCCTGCCAGTTTGGTATATGATTCGTGCGTCGGGACTTGCGTGCTGCGAGGTCGCTTCACCAAAGTGCTGGAAGCGCGCCAAACGCGCCACCTGCGAAAGGGCGGCCAAAGATACCGGATAACATTTGTATTTTATCCGGATTCAAAACCCCGCGAACAGCAAGAGGTGTGTATCCGGACGGCCGGATTTAGCATTCGCGTCGGCCGGACCTCAAGATGGCACGCCCCAAGCAAGCACCGAAGGGCAAGGGGAAGAGCCGCCAAGGCGACCCCGCGCCCGCCAAGGCCAAGGCCGGGAGACCCAAGACCAGCATCGCCCAGAAGCTCACTGCGGACCTCGAGCGCCTTCGCGGCCTCGGCAACGGCGACTTGGACGCCGACGAGGCCAAGACCATGGCCCGCGACCTCAGCGCCGAAGAGCGCTTGACCCACGCGGACGCGCACGTGCGCCTTCTCGTGGCGTCCTGCGCCGCCGAGCTCCTGCGCTTGACCGCGCCCGAGACGCCCTTCGCGTCAGACCAGGCGCTTTACGACGTCTTTGGCCTCGTCATCCGCGCCTTGAAGGAGTCGACCAAGGACACGGACATTGCGTGGTTTGGCCTCCTCGAGACGCTGGCGTCGGTCAAGAGCTGCAACCTCATGGTCGGTTTGCAGCCCGAGTTGCAGGAGACATCGTCGTCGTCCGACTTGGTCGTCGACCTCTTCCGGGGCTTTTTCGAGCGGCTCCAAGACGACCACTCGCCCAAGGTCGAAGCCAACATGATCACCATCATGGTGAGCTGTCTCGAAGAAGGCGACGCCGTGAGTCCGGCGATCCTCGAAGCGCTTTTAGAACCGCTCCTTGAAGTGTCCAAGCCGCGGACGTACCACATGGCGCAGCAGGTCATTGAGAAGGCGACGGACGTGCTTCAGACGCACTTGAGCCTCTTCTTCAACAGTGCGCTCGTCGACGTGCGTGGCGCAAGCGAGCACTCGGCGCTCAAGGAGCACATCCACGCGCTCATCTACGAAGTACACAAGGTCAACCCGAGCTTGCTCTTGTACGTCCTCCCGAACGTGTGTCTCCAGCTTCAAGTCGACGACCTCGACACGCGCTCGAACGCGATTGCGCTCATGGGCCGCCTCTTTGCGTCGTCGCACGCCGACTACGGGGCGCAGTACCTCAAGAACTTTCGCGACTTTCTCGATCGGTTCCGCGATGTGAAGAAGGACATTCGGCTCCAAATGGTGCAAGTCTGCGCGATTATTGCGCAGCGCAAGCCCGACTTGGTGCACCTCATTGAACCCGAGATGATGGGCCGGCTCCAAGACGCCGAGTGGGACGTCCGGCGTCTCGCAATGAACGAGCTCTGCGACCTCGCGGCCAAAAGCGTAACTAGCGTGAGCGCGGCGTGTCTTCGCCAGATCGGCGAGCGCATGAAGGACAAGAAGGTCGTGATTCGAAAAGAAGCCATGACGGGCCTGGCCCAGATCTACTCGGCGCACGTCGCCAATGGCCTCAGCACTGGCGCCAACGATGTGACGGCCGCGGCGACCGCGCTCTCGTGGGTGCCCGACTACGTCCTCAAGTGCTTTGCGTACCCGCAGCAAGAGCTCAAGCTGCGCGTTGTGCAGCTGCTCGACGACATTTTGCTGCCAAAAGCCACGTCCGAGCTCCATCGTATGAAGGGCCTCGTCTTTCTCTGGAAGCACCTCGATTCGAGCGCCAAAGAAGCGCTCAAGCGCATCTTCCTCGAGCGCGTGCGAAGCCGGGATGCGATCGCGACGTTTCTCGACATCAAGCAGCTCATGCGACACAAGAAGAACGCGACGGCGACGACGCCCGAAGTCGTCCACATGATGGAGTGCTTGAAAGAGCTCCAGCCGCTCCTTCCCGAGACGGACGGCTGGGCTTCCTTAACCGAGAAGCTCGCGCTCTGGAAGGACATGAAGCTCGTCAAGCACCTCGAACTCCTCTGCGCGCCCACGACCTCGAGCACCGACCTCCGCAAGGCGCGCGAAGACGTGGTCAAGATGCTTGGCTCCAAGACACCGCTCGGCGAGTGGATGAAGAACGTGTGCCGGAAGCTTGCGATGCTCACGATCAACACCACGAGCCTCGAGTCGCTGCTCTCGATGTTGCAGCCCACGGATGCGACGAGCCGGGACACCAAGACGGTCGTCGATATCCTCTTGTTTGTCGCGGAACACGCGCCGTTTCTCTTTGAAGCGCACCTCAACACGCTCGAAGCGCTCTTGGACGACGACACGCAATCCGCGTGCGTCCTCGACATCCTCATTGCGTACGGCAAGTACCGCAAGACGCATGCGACGGCGCGGGCCCCCGACAGCGCGCTCGAAGGCGTCCTCCTCGCCGCCGCGCAAGAGTCGGAGGGCGACGAGATCGTCCGAAAGAGCGCGCGTGCGCTCGTGCTGCTCTTCCCGCGCGCACCCGCCGTCAAGTCGTGGCTTGTGACACTTGCCAAGGCGTCGACGCACGAGGACACACAGCTGATTGCGCTGGCGATTCTGGCCAAGCACGTGTTTGTGCCAACCGAGTGCAAGCCGCTGTGTGCGTTGCTTCTGGCGTCAACGGCGTCCTCCTCGCACGCGAAAATGAAGAAGAAGGAGCTGCACACGCTGGCGCTGCAGCTGCGCGTGCTAAGCCATGTGACCGTGTACCAGTTTCCCGACGATGACGCCAAAGCGCGGTCCGTGCTTGACCTTGTCGCGCCCTTGCTAACGTCGGCGCATGCGTCATTGCGGCGCGTCGCTGCGCAGACGATGCTCGTGCTGAGTCGCACGCCGCTGCTTGAGAGCCAAGTGCGCCTGCCCGAGTGGCATGCGCTCAGCTACATGGTCACGGACGAAGACGTGGGCGTTCGGGAGGCAATTCTCAAGACGCTGACGGCCAATTTGCTGCGACATGCGATCCCGCACCCGCACAAGTACACGGCGATGCTGGCGCTGACCGTGCACGAGACGCATCCCGAGCTCAAGAAGACGGCGCGTACGCTCCTAGCGACAGCCGTCATGCGGCTTCGCAAAGCGTTTGAAGCGCGCGACCAAGACGACGCAAGTAACGACGAGGCAAGCTCGCTCATGGTGCCCGAGTACACGCTGCCGTTCGTCTTGCACCTTGTCTTGCACCCGCCGAGTGGATGCGACAAGATCTTTGACGCGCCATCGTTGTTGTTGGACGTCCTCGTCTCGAACGTGGCGTCCGAGGCCGACAACATCTCGTTTTTGCTCCAAATGCTGCACAAGATGAGCATGTGTCATGACGCGACCGAGCCGACAGCCAACGGACTCTACAAGGTCGTGCAGCAGTGCACGTCGACGCTCCGCGCCAAGATCAAGAACCAAGTCAACCTCAAGCCGTACCCGGGCCAAATCTTCCTCCCGAAAGACTTGTTCCAGCCCGGCAAGGCCGAGAACGACACCGACGCCAACGACTCGGATGCGAGCAACGACGACGACGACAAGGCCAAGCCGACCAAAGTGCATAAGAAGCGGACGCTCCCGAAAGCCACGAACGCGCCCAAGCCCAAGAAGGCCAAGCCGACGCCTGCCAAGACCAAGGCCTCGGAGGATGACCCGCCGCCGCGACGGTAGATAGACCATTGCATACCAAGAGGCTCATGGGTATGCGTAGCATGCCGTCCCGCCGTGCCAAGCAAACCGAAACCAATCTGGCCGACCCCGACAGCGACGTGGACGAGTACGCGGCCGAAGCGCCAGCATCCTCGATCCGGGCGTACTTTACGCCAGTGCGGCCCAAAGCCCGTGCCACGAGTCATGACAGCGACACGGACGATGGCGAAGAAGAGACCAAGGACGCTGCCAGTGACGGCGAAGAAGAAACCAAGGCCGCCGGCAATGACGACGAGGAAGAAACCAAGGCCGCCGGCAGTGACGACGACGACGAAGACATGGTATTGCCATATCCCTAGTCTTGAATCTGACCAGAAGCGTGTAGACGAGCTTCCGCCCTCGCCGCCGCCGGTAACAGGATCATTTGCTTGCTTTTTTACTTCATCACGAAGCTCTACGTGTGTGTCTACGAGCTCGCTTTGACCACAAACTCGGCAAGCAGCGGGAGATGGTCTGAGCCCACGTGTCGGTTGGGCAAGGCGCCTTCGCACGTGGCCTCGGCCAACGACATGAGCGGTGCCAAGCCCGCAACGTCGACCCTACATATGGCTGACGTTGGCGTCCAAATGGATCGTGTGCACCTCGCGCGGTCGTAGAAGATGTAGTCGAGCGTCCCCACAAACGCAGGCGACCCGTCGGCGTTGACGCCGTTGCAGTTGGTGAACGCCGGCTCACCACCACCCGCGTACGCCGCATACGCACTGGCGTACGTCGCTGTGATGTGCTTGTACACGTCGCTGTCGGGCAGCGAGTTGAAGTCACCGGCAAAGAAGACGCTGCCACCGCGCGTGGCAGTGAAGGACGCGATCGCAGCCAACATGTGCTGCGTCTGCGCGAGCTTGACGTCGGCCTCTTTCGGGTCCCAGAAGAGGTGGGTAGTCGCAACGACGATCTGCGCGCCGTCGACAGTCGACTGAAACTGCCCGACGAGCCCGACGTTATCCCGTGCGAGGAGCCGGCGGCCGAGGTCGGCGTCGATCGCTACCAGTGCGACGTGGGGACGGAGATGGCGATGGGAGTATACATACCGTTGGCAGCAGCGTGCTTGAGGTGGACGTGCTCGCTGTGCAAGAGCTCGAGTCTAAAGCAAGCAGATCGTATAGGAGACTGGCGATACGAGCAGTATGACCGGTCGGGCTGCCAGAAGATCGCGACGCCGTCTTGCTTGGCGCTGGTCTTTTGCGCGTAGATGCTAGTAGCGTCGTTAGTCGCTCAATGATTGTGCGCGCGAGGTACCCCGCATAGCCCATCGACGCCATCGTGTCCTTCCAGAACGTCTCGTACTGGTCGCACTCCTGCGTGATGTCGTTCAGGCGAGATGGAGCAACAGAGGTCGACGTGTACCTGGAGGCAAATGACGTCGGGGCGGTGCGGAAGGGCAGCAAACTGGTTCTTCTACAGGCGACATGAGTGGAGCGCTAATGGCAGTGGCGGCGGACGAGGAGCTGGCTGCGGTTCTTCCAGCGCAGCGCCTTGCTGTCGCAGTACGGGAAGAAGGACGAGCGCACGTAGCACTGCGCGAGGACGTTGTAGCTCATGATCGAGAGCGCATGGCCACCTACGCCACCAGTGCTCTACTTGGCCATCGCGCGCATGCTACGTCGACGTACCACTGCTCCATTTCCGCGGGTTGCGCATGCTGCTCATGCTGCTCTTCCGGCGGAGGATGATGATGCTGCTCGACGCAAGCGCCAATCAAGCGCGAGGAGCGTATCGCAGGCGAATAAAATGCTCGTTTCACTTGGTGTTTGTATGTCGGATAAAACATGTGGTATTAAATGATAGACGATGGATACATCAATTACTGCTGCACTCGACAAAGTGCGGGAAAAAGGGTTTGTCCCAGCGCCCAAAGATCTCACTGAGCTTTGGTGACAGGCAAAATGGCTCTGGCAGTGAGATCTTCCTGGCCATTGCTCCCGACTCCAGAGCCGCGTACAAAAACGGGCGCTCGGCCAATTGCGGGCTTCTAATTCGTTAGGCTCCTCGCAAGACGTAGATGTCCCGGTCCGTTGACCCCAGTTTGCATGTTCCAACCGCCAAGCACTACGACGTACCCTTCGGTGCACACCAGATACTCTCTGAGCTATCAAGCCATTGCCAACGACAGGTCGATGAGCAAGATGCGAGCTATGGACCTTCTTGACAACCCAAATCGTTGAAGACATTCCGGCAAGATCACGCACTCGAAAATGATGGTCTACCGTGATGGTCTTCCCCTGGACCGCCCCTGCGCAGATGCCATGGACGGTATAGCATTTGAAAGAGCGACGACGATGATGGCAACGATAGAGCTCATAGTCACAAGCACGCGAGCTATGGCGGTCGGTGGTTGACACCAAGGTGATGCTGGCCGGCGCGAAATCTCCGACGTTCCTGTTTGTCCCAAATGAAAGTCGCACTTAATCGAGCGTCGTCCAGTTCAGCTGGGAGCTATTCTTGCATAATCACCGTCATGTCCACGGACGAGACCCCGTCGCTGTGGAGCCCCGGGCAGCTCGTGGCATGGCTCACGTCCTTCGAGGACGGCCGGTACGCGCCCTTGATCAGCCAGCTCCGCGCCTTCTCGGGCCGGCAGCTCGTCGAGCTCGCGCCCGAGCACTGGGCGCGCCTCCAGCCGCCCGCGCTGGCGACCAGCCTCCGCTACACGCTCTTGGGCATGAACCAGGTGTCGTCCCGCGGCTCGCACGACATTGTCGCGACGCCACGCAGCCCGTACATTGGCGCGACGACGCCGATCGGCATGGACCCTCTCCCGTCCATGCGGCCGAGCGAGGCGAGCTCCAGTGGGAGTGGGCCCAAGAAGGTGACGGTGCCCGTGGTGTTTCCGCCCATGATTGCGCGGCCAACGCTCCTCGCCTCGGTCGTCATCTTTCTCCTCGCGCTCGCGGTCACGCTCATCTTTACCGTCTTCAAGGACGACTTGGCCAAGACCGACTACCCGGCGTCGCACGTGCTCGCGATCATGTCGATTCCCGTCATCAGCGTCGTCTTCACCTACGTGCACATTTGGCTCGCGTTGTACATGACGTTCTACCCGCTCAACTACGTTGGCATTGGCCAGTACCCGGGCACAAACATGGGTCTCTGCGGCTGGCAGGGCATCGTGCCCTTCAAGGGCGAGAAGATGGCGCGCATGTCGGTGCGCATCATGACGACGCAGCTCATGGACGTCCGCGAGGTGTTTGGCAAGATCGACCCGGCCCAAGTCTCGAAGGAGCTCGAGCCGATTCTCTTCAATACGATCAAGGACATCATCGAGTCGATGGCGCTCAAGTACAACCCGGGCTTGTGGAGCGTGCTGCCGCAAGCCGTCAAAGACGAGATTGTCGAGAAGGTCAAGGAGGAAGCCCCCAAGCACATTGAGTCGATGATGCTCGAGATCCGCAGTCGCATCGAAGACGTCTTTGACATTGAAGACATGGTGGTCACCAACATGATGAAGGACAAGCAGCTCATCGTCAACATGTTTGTAACCTGCGGCTACAAGGAGCTCGCGTTCATTCGCAACTCGGGCGCGTACATGGGCGGGATCTTTGGCCTCATTCAGATGGGTATCTACCTCCTCTTCCCGCGCCTCTCGGTCTACGTGACGTTTCCTGGCTTTGGCCTCCTCGTCGGGACGCTCACCAACTGGCTCGCGCTCAAGATGATCTTCGAACCGGTGTTCCCGAAGAAGGTCGGCTGCTTGACCTTCCACGGCCTCTTTCTGCGCCGGCAAAAGGAAGTCGCGGCCGTCTACGCCAAGATGGTCGCGTCGGACGTCCTCAACGCACGCAACATTATCGAAGCCATCCTCAAGGGCCCGGCGTCCGACAAGCTCTTTGAACTCGTGTACGCCAACGTCCAGACCGCCGTGAACGCCGGCGCCTCGATCGCTGACAAGATTGTGACCATTGGCATTGGCAAGGACACGTACAACTCGATCAAGGACGACATCACCGACCTCGTCGTGCAAAAGTTTCCCGAAAGTCTCCGCCACATTGAAGACTACACGACCGTGGCGCTGGACCTCGAGACGACGCTGCGCGAGAAGATGGGCACGCTGAGCTACGGCCGGTTCGAGCGTCTCCTGCACCCGGTGTTTGAGGAAGACGAGTGGAAGCTCGTGCTCATGGGCGGGGCGCTCGGCCTTGTGCTGGGCTTCATTCAGACGCTGTACGAAGCCAAACACTAATGTACGAACCAAGTTAGGACGCAAGACCCTCCCTTTTGGTTTATAGTGTTGCATGCAATGGATAGATATATATTTACTCGTACGCAATTTGGACAAGGTGTCTGTGGTCTACGTGGTCGCAACGTCATCCTCGTCATCCTCGTCGTCATCGCCGTCGCCCGCAGTGCCGAGCTCGATCGACACTTGGCACGTGGGGCACACCTTCTTGAGACGGAGCCACGGGTCAATGCAGTCTGTGTGGTACGAGTGAAAGCAAGGGAGCGTGCGAATGTCGTCGCCCGACTCAAAGGTGTACCGACACACAAGACACCTAGTCCTCGTCCTATTAGTACGTAGCAACAAAGTGGGGTGTACTCGATGTCGATGCCTTCCCGCTCGCGCGAAAAGACTCGCTTTGGCAGCTGCGCAATCATGCGGTCCGACGCACCGCGCCTACGAAGACACCATGACTGCGAGGTTAGGGTTCCGTCATACGTACGAGTTGGCGTCGGCTTGCTGGAGCTGGTTGGCGAGCATCACCAGACCCAACGTCCCTGCGTATGGCAAGCTTAGTGGCAATCGCAGCATCGACGGAGATACCGTGTTGGGCGACCAAGGCTTCAATCTCAAGTGGCGACGTCCCAATGCGAATCTCATTCGAGAGCCGCGTCGTATCGTCTACGACAAGTTGAGTATCAAATACTTCAACAACAGATGAGGGCTACCGTCAAACTGCCGCTGGAGCCAGAGGGCGTACTGCACATCAAACGAGTCGCGGGACGAGCCGTCGACGGCCGGCAGCTCAATGCCCGTGATGCGGCGCGTGCGAAGGTCGTCGACGATCGCGGTCGGGAGCACGTAGCCAAAGAGCTGGTGCGGCGAGAGCACGCGGGCTTGGTCGTCGCCGCACTGCACATGAAACTGCAGCGTGTGCTCTGCGAGGCGCACCGCAAGGTCGATTTGCGTCAAGTGGCCATCGCCGTAGCACGTGTAGACGACCGACTGCGGCACGAGGTACGTGGCGACCGTCGTCCACGGCAAAGCCGGTGCGGGCGGGCGCCGCGGCGGCAGGACCGAGCTCCGACGTTGCGTCTCGTCGTCGGACGGCGTCGGCGTCGGCTCTTCTTCCGGCGGAAACGTGCCTTCGTCCGCACCAAATTCCACCTACAAGACAAATTGTCTGCAGTTGAAACGACAATAGGACGGCAGTGTACGAGAAGGCCAAACTCGGCGTGCGGCGTGTACAGGGTCGAGACACAGTCAAAGTCGCCGGCTTTGAGCTGCAGCACGACGGCCGCGCGGCGGTCGGTCGCGCCGTCGCAGAGCCGGAGGAGCAGACTCGAGTGCAGCCGCGTCTCAAACACGAGCTGACCGCGGCTGTTGACGGGCACGTGGTACATTTGGAGTAGCAAATCCCCCGTGTTGATTGTGCGGCCGACCTAAAAGATTGAAAAAATGAGTTACTATCAACTTTGTATCAAGTGAAACACAGACTTTGAACGCATGCGGCCCGTTCGAGACGAGAATACTGCGCAGACCGAGCACCATGCTCGAATAAAACACGTGGCCCTTCTCATCTTGCAAGACAAAGTACGGTCGGTACGTGTTGTCGGGCAAATACCGCGACTACACACGTCAACTTGATACTTTGATACAAACAACAGACGCAAGCCGTACGAGGCCGTCGGGGCACTTGAGAATCGAGAGCCGGTGGATGTACAGCGGGTGTTGGGCCGGCAAGACGGCGGCGCCGCTGAGACTCGTGCGGTCTTGTAGCGATGTCTATCGATCGCATTAGAGCTGCAGGTTCAAACACCAACAAGCGCTACGCTGGACAAGAGCTGCTGGTCGCGGAGGAGGAGCAGCCCGGTAAAGTCGCGCAGGAACCGCGCTTGCGGCCGCGGAAGGCCCGGAACGTACGACGTATTGCGCACGTCCGACTCGATAAACGTCTTGGAGAGCCGCAGTGCGAGCGACTCGGCGCTCTCAACGTTCTCGTTGAACCTACGCGCAGCATGGATCACATACGAGTTGAAACGACAGGGGCGAATATGTCTACCACTGCAAGATGCGCTCGCCGTACGCAATGAGATCGGTCCCAAACGGCGCGCGGTACATGGCGCAGCACGCAAGGTACACGCTGAGCTGCTCTTGGTTGGGCGCCAGGAGGATCGCGACGTGGGCGTCATCAAGCGCAAGCCAGGACGCGACCGTCGACGCCGCGACAAACATCGAATGCATCGACGGCACCGCGCCACGCTTGAAGGGCAGCGACGTCACGCGGCCGCCTGCGTGACACATTAGCGGTCGCAGACAAGAAGCATGCGGGTACCTGCAAAGGTGTCGGGCACGAGCGGCTTTTGGTGCGTCCGTTGCACCGCGTCAAGAAGACCGCAGTCCATGACGCACGCCTTCTCGGCAAAGCGAGTCGCGATCGCGGCGTCGAGGTTGGACATGGCCAGCTGCGCGTCCGCCCACGTGCTCGTATACGTCTTTGCGCCAAAGAGCTTGGTGACGGCTTGCATGGCCGGCGGCGCGAGCACGGCGAGGCGCGACGAAAAGTGGAGGATCGGGTCGTCGTTGGTTTTGCTAAAGAGGACGCTTGATATCGACTCCTTGAGCGCTCGCGACCAGCTCGCGACTGGCTCGTCGGCCGATGGTGGAGGCGGCAACGGCGCCGGGAGCTGTGCATTCATGGGCGACGTGAGCGAGATGTCGCCGGTGCTCTGGCCGTCCACGAGCAGGCGCACGCGCGGGTCTTCGGCCACGCGCTCGAGGTTGATGCGTCGGAGGAAGGACGCTCCGCGCTCGGTCCAGCGCGGCTCGTGCGCGTCCGTCCGCTCGGCCATCGCCAAAGATTCCCGAAAATGCTGGAAAGAAACCATTTTCTCGTTGCTTGGATTAAAAATAAACGTATTTTAATACATCATTCTTCCAATTAACATACAAATAACAATATAAAGCCATGGAATGGGCTACATTAAAATACAAAAATAGCGTATTCTACGATAATCGGGCCCGCGACAGAGTGTAGGTCCAACGGCCGCGGGTTTCGCGTGATCCAGTGGAATATACAGTGTCTTTACCACGCTCTGGTGCGTCCTGTGGCAGTGGCACCATCCTGTTTGTATACGCAGGCATCACGCTGGACAGGATCGCCCTCTCGACGCACGCAACAGAGAATGGTGGTGGCGTCACGCGGCAAGCGCGCTACTCACTCAGCGCGCCATCTGGCACGAGCTGGCGCGAATATGCTGGCGCCACGTCAAGATCCCAAGCAGTGCGCTGTGTCCACGCGCGGGTTCGAATCCCGCAGTCGTCGTGCGTTGGAAGCACGTACTTTGAATTAGCGCCTACGGTGGTTTCGCCATGCTGGCTGCTGAAGCTGCCACGTCATACGAACGGCAACGCTTGGCTCGATATCGCGCGAACCTCCCGCGAGAGGGATACCTTGTCTCGCCTTGAGGCAGGATGCACTGCTCGAGCACCAGAGCCATCCGATCAATCGCGTCGGGCGCTACTGGCAGCGCTCGTTGGCGTCGTGGCACGTCTGGTGTCAAGATATAAACTTGTACATTGCGGTTGAAGCGAGTCCTACGCAGATCTTTCATATATTTATGTACTATCGACACTGTGTGCTGATTTGGTCGGCGGGCGGAGGAGCGACTTGCGGCTGGACTTGCTCGTCGAGTGGCACGGGCGGTGGTGCCTGCACCGTCCAAGAGCTTCTCCACTTCGACCGGAAAGATATTTTTTACTTCTGGCCATACATTTTTAAAAGCAAATGCACAATGTTTCATACAAATACCAAGCTGTTCACTCCGTTTTGTATTCCAAGGACAAGATTCTCGCAGCTATTCTCGCATGCACAATGTAATATGGTTTTCCGGATGTTTGGGGAAAGGTTCAACTGCGTTGGCGATGGTGATTGGCTGAAATCACGCCCATCCGGATACGCGCCTTTGGTCATCTTCAACGGAGAATCTCAATTCTGGTCTTGTCGCCCAAACAGCGACCGACAACGACGCGACCGAAGGGACTATAGAAGGCCGCTACTAGTACGTGCAGAGCTTCAAAGGCGGCAAGTTCG